GTATAGAAACTTGGAGACGACTCGCCCATCGCCGTGAACGCCATCATTGGGATGGTTAAAGAACGTTTTGCTTGTGCCTCTGAAGGCTGTTTAGCAAAGCCACGTGGCAAAAGGCTTTCACCTCGGGGGCCATAGGATGCCATCTCTGCTGTATGTGGATGTGGCTCTGTTGGGTCATCAAGCGGGGGCCTCCAGCTCACACTGGAGTGGTTTGCTGCCATCATATTTACGAACTTAAGTGTCCACGCTGCCCACCCACCCAGCGAGATGATGACAAAACCCCATTAGCCTTTCATGGCAGAGGGACAAACATGAGTTTTCTTTAGCTCCCTCCTACATACTTGGTCAAAACTGGACACAGATCCAATTGACCATCACCCATGGTACAATATATTCTAGTATAAAAGCATGACCCACACATACACACTGAGAGAGAGCTGTGCAGGAAGTGCGATTTCATCGTGGTGGAAGCAAAACAGCAAAAGCCAGAGGCAGTTCATCCAAACGTGAAGCGTAGTTTGGATCTTCTTTTGCTGCTGGTTCAGTGAATTTTGGTCAAACCTGCAGCATCAGAATCTGTGAGAGGTCAAAGGTTGCAGTACACTGATCACGTATATCTTACCAGGTAGCCGTGCTCACAGTTGGACTAATCACGGCACGTTTTAGACGAACGCTTTACACAGTGACTGTGAATGTTCCTGACATAGTGACAAACAATAGTTTCATGACAAGCCAATGTCTGTATCCCATTTTGCTTATCTGATTGGCTGAAGTCAGCCCATGGTAAAAAGGGACAAATGTTTAACCCAATCACCTGCCAAGTATTTTCTTCAAAGCAACTCAAATTTTCAGCATTTCTCAGATAGTTCTGTGTAACAAAGACGACATAAGAGACACTTATTTTAGAGACATCTCTATACCATGTTAAAGCTCGCCAACAGACTGAGTTACAGTTGGCCCCATCCATGCTGCAGATTATGCTTTCTTTGCTTCTTTGTTCTCTTGAGACCAAGCTCCACTAACATGTTGTTCAAGCTCCAGGATTTTAAATGAACTGGACACCAGAAACTACAGGTTTCTTTTATGGGCCTATATTACTGGAATTCAATGATGTATAAATTCAATGGTTTTGCACTAAAGTCAATGTCACACACTACCTTTAGACTGGGACAAAGACATTGCCTTTGCCAAATATAAGCAGCATGTTGAAGACAAATGGAAACACACGTCTCCTCCAGCAGGGCTACACACACTGTGAATGCAGCACCTGCACTATTTGACAAACACACTTTTCCAAACAGTTACTTGAGATTATCATTTAGCTCTAAATTGCTGCCTCATCATAAGTGTGGACTGCTGCTGTTTGGTAATGTGTTTGATGAGACAAAAAAGATGGCAAAATTAGAGTATTTCAGAAGCAGGATTGTTCAATGTTTTTACAAGATGGGTTTTATCACATGTTGCATCCTTTCTGCTTAGCTCTCAGATGGCCTGAGCACCATTAAGTCATTTCCTTCCAGTTTGCTGAGAGGCTTTTAGTCCATGCTTGCTTCTCTGACACTTGCATAAAGAGCAGGAAAGAAAAAAAACAGCTCTCTGGCCTCATGGCTCAGGGCTTCTGCAGCAGCCCAGCCAAGACTCACCATCACACAGCTAAGTGGAAGCAGCACAAACCCTTTTAAAACCTCATGCTCTGCTCCTAATTAGGCCTGCAATGATTCATCGAGTCATTCCAATAATATGATTATAAATAAACTCGA